GCAATTGAAGTTTTACGGTTCTTGTCTTCCACACAAATACTAAGTAGTCATTTAAAACCTAGAACTTACATCTAAATTAATTGAGCAACCTCAGGAAGAAAAGAACACAAATCAAGCCTTTGGAATCTTTATTTTCTCATTCCAAAAAGGAACGTATTGCCTGAAGTGTGGAAATAGTGCTGATGGGAAAAGTGAAGAAGCTAATGTCATCCTTGCCCAATTATCCCCAAGTATGAATTAATACTACAGTATTACATGTTCTCATCACCTTTTCCACCATGTCATTAATTAGCTATTATATCATCCCCAAAACAGCAACACAAAGGCATAACCTATCTTCTGTTATAAACTGTCCATTCTGAATTTCTGCCTACTTGAAAAACAACGATGTCTGTCAAACACAAAGACCTCAGGCAATTGAATCCCTCTTCTTCCAGCTGAAGAATCAACTTACATTTGGTGAAGCACCTGAGCCATGGCAACCCCATTAGTCAAGTCCTGGACATCCCTGCAGGGTGCTGCTGTATTGAATGTCTGCAGCTAAAACAGGGAAAAACACAGGTTTAGTTCAGCAGACAATAAATTAACCGCCATCTTCCTTCTCCCCTTTCAGGCACAAGCATTTAGTAAGATGTCTTTCTACCTGAAATCCTTTTTGAACCCCAATTTTATCAACACTTTTGACTGTTACAACTGGTAGCTTTAAAAGTTGGTATGAAAATCCACACTCTATTTTTTCATGCTAGGTCTTCTATTGTAAAGCAGATTATGAAAAGGTAACTTGGGAGACTAAAGTAATATTTATCCAGCCTTTGAATTATGTTGCAGTGCTTTTTCTGGACATAACTACCTAAACAAAAAACAGCATCAAAAGAAGGTGTGAAAGTTGATAGGGAAAAAAAAAAATCCAGTCTTTTACTACAAGAACCTAGTAATAGAAATAGGATGGGATTACCTCAATGTTAAAATGTTTCTCTGTTTTAAATATTGTGGGATTTTTTTTAATTATCCCCAAGCTTATAGCTAACATTTTGACAGAATTAGCTGTATATTTAGACTAACAATATTTTATTCCTCCAAAGACAATCAACTCAGAACTAATTACCCTAGATGACAGAGCTATTTCCACACACAGGTCAGTTTGTCACAGTTACTCAGGAAAAGAAGAGCCTTCTTTACCACAATAAACAAAACAGAAAGTTTATTATTAGTATTACTAAGATAGAATAGAGTGGGAGCAAGTACAAATCCTTATAAACCCCATCCACTGCAGAAACGGACTTCTTAAACTCACTGCATTTATGATGTCCTAAATTATCTGTCCCTCTGCAAGAGGGCTTTCCCAAATCATCCTGTGCAACACAAACTTCTTCAGAACTCCTGGTAAAAAATGACTTTGTGTTTGGGAAATGGAGCTACTGGGACCAGAATGATGGAAAAGCAGTTTTCAGCTGTGAGAATCTGAGGCAGTTTTTGTCCACTCTGTGTTTTTTGTAGAGTGACCAGAATTCTGAATATTTGTTTATTCCTTCAAGAGGAGTCCAATCAAGCCAAGAGAAAAATAGGCAGAGCAAGGGGATTTTTTTAATTTAAAAAGTGTGTTTAAATCCTGTTTTACAGGAAGTAGTAAGTCAGTAATCCCTCGTGGGTTACATAAAAGATTAGTGGAACACCACAGCCCAAAGCTGCTATGCCTGACAGCACTGACTTCTACTACTCCAGCAGCCTCAGCACAAGTATGGGCATGCAAGTTCACATTCCAGGCTGGCCTTCCCAAATCCAGAGTTTTATGGCACAATATGGTAATGCTGCCATCTGGAGATACCCCTCATAAAGCAAGGGAATTGCTGTGTGCAGGTGCAACTCTTTCACCTGAGCCTGTTAGAGCAGGTAAACAAAGCCTTAGAAAACCCTGACATGCAACACTGCTTTATGCACAATCTCCCAGAATAGAAACAGTTAACTAAAATTAAGTAAAAAGCAGAACTGACAGTCTAGGTTTCTCTATGTATTTGAAAGTCACATAAGGATCTAGAAAGAATAAGAGAGAAGTATTAATTATCCCCAATCCTCATGCCAGCCCAATCATTTAATCAAAACGGATTTTTACTGTTCTTGCAAAACCAGTAAAAGTGGCAGGTGTGGGGGAGGAGGTTGGAAAAAGAAGCCACAGACTTCAGGACTGTAGCAGTGCTCTTTCTTCCCTCATTGTTTTCAGTTTTACTAAATATAGCTCCAAGGATATGCTGCTACTCACACTGAAAACCATTTTGTGAATTCCACCCCAAATGCACTCTGCCACTTGCTGCTACAGCAGAAGTTCTTCTCTCAGACACAGAGCTGTTATGCTCGCAATAAACAGATGAAAAGTTAATTTTGTAGCTCTACCACCAAACATTTGCAGATGAAACACGAGTGTAGAGAATGCCCAGCAGAAATCAGCCCACCCACCTGGGGAAGGTGTGCCCTCAGTTTCCCCTGACAGTGAGGGGTTGAGTTTTTCCATTTTACACCCAGATATGCACAGGAGGGACAGAGGTTTTCCAGAGTAATCAAAGAGATTCTAAACTAAAAATAAACATTCCCATACTGAGACCAAGTATATTAACTGAATAAGTCAGCCACTGGACAGAATGAACATTACCAGTGGTGCCAGTGCCAAGCAGTGCATTTATAGTGGAAAATGTTTCCAATTTAAGATGTTGCCATACATCCAGTCCCTGGTTTGGAGGCTAAGGCAGTACAGCACTGAAAATCATGCAATTAACTTGTTCTCTACACGGAGGAAAAATAACTAACTTAGAAAATTGTTTCTGCTGCAGCTTGTGAGTTCCACCGTAGCAGGTATTACCCAAGTCAATTTTTCATGGATACTCATAAACATTACCCCTATAATTCAGTTTAGCTGCTTTATGTTTTTCTTGTAAAATCCTCAGAACTTTAAATTCAATGACACCTAGGCTGCAGAAGCAAAAGGTAACATTTTTATTTGAATCTTCTCTTTCTTCACTGGACGCAGCATGTTTTCTAATATTGCATTTGGTGAAATAAAAATAGGAAAATACCCAATCTGGCAGCAAAATACAAAGAATCATAAGCATCTGTTTGCTATATTAATGAGTAAATAAACTGAGAAACCATGAGAAACAGAGAGTTACAGAACCCTTTTCTCTCCAAACATAGAGCACACCATCTCCCTCTCCTCACATCACTTTTCTCCCTATTATTCACACTGAAGTTCAAATTGTGAAAGGATGTTGCAAACACATCCAAGTGTTAAGAATCAGTTTCTAAGTTGCAAACTAGGCCTGAGAAATAGGGTGCTAAAGCTAAAACCAGGCATCTGCTGAGTGCTGTATAGAAAAAATGAACACAGGGTTGGGTCTTCTTTTACATTGAAACAATTGCTCAGTTTAAGGCCAGTTAAGGTTCCATTAGATTCATGATGTGATTACAGCTATTGCACTGTAAGCATACCAAAAATGACAATTAGGATAGAAATATTTAAAGCAAGAATTGTGAAAAATAAAAAGAGTTCAGCACTGCTGACAGGATTTTTGTGGGGAAAAAAAAGCAGCGATTTTTTTCTGTCCTTGAATCATGATGACGTTATTCTCACCTGACTACTGAGGGGGAAATACAAAGTTAAGGAGTCCAAAAAAAAACCCAGAAAGATTAAATATTGAAAGATATCCAACACAAGGCCACCAAAATTCTAGACAGCAACAAAACCTTGGGAGAACAAAATGTCACTAAAAAGAAAATGGAAGGAGGAAAAAGAAAGGAATAAATTGTTTATCAGTGATTTATTCCAGACTTTAACTCATTAACACTTCTGTATTGCCATGCAGAAATCAAGAACTCAGGCTGCTGCTCCTGTTACTTTTACCAGTTTAGTTCCTGGATTTCTACAATGCCTCTAAAACACTCCCTTCTCTCTGAGAAGTGTAAATCATCCGTTTATGATTTACACTTCTCAGAGACAAAACTCCTGCTATTTCTAGAGAAACCCTTCACACAGGAATTGTGACATTCCCTGCCAAGATTTCATGCAGAAGTTCTATTTCATAGAGCTCTCTGTCACTGAAATTACTGCACCTGCAAAACCAGAATTACAGACAAGGTCACAGAAGAAGCTTGGAGAGGAAGATAAAGAGGAAGCAAGAGTAATTGATAAATTTAACAAATACGTTTGTACTCGATGACCTTAAAAGTCTTTTCCGACCTAAATAATTCTGCAGTTCCAAACAGGTGCCTCTGGCACAGGTAACATCACACACCCAGGTGTGGCGTGCCTGACTAATAAACGCTTTAACCAACCGGTATGAAATACTCTGAGGTTTCTACGCCTGTCAATTCAAATTAATTGCATTTATTTATTAATAGTGTCAATTGCCGAGCAGTTTCCACACTGAAGCCGCCGCAGGAAAGCCGCACTTGGGCCCATGGGGTGTTCCAGCCAGCACATCCACACCTGGAGGGTGCCGCGGGAGCCTTTGGCTGCTGTGAGCGGCGTGTCCCGGGCAGCCCCAGCCCGAGCCACCCGCAGCTGCTGCTCCACGGGCGGGGACGGAGGGACGGGGGAAGGAGGGACGGGGGGAAGGAGGGAGGGGGATGGAGGGAGGGAGGGAAAAGCCCCCCGCCGCTGGCGCCTCCTCTCTGCCCTCGAGGGTCCCCAGAGGCGGCAGAACCCCCGCGCCACTCACCCAGAGGATGAGGCTGTCGCAGAGCAGCGGGTCCGCCGATTTTGCCTCCATGGCGGCGGCGGCTGCCGCGTTCCCCCCGCCCTCAGGCAAGCCGCCCTCAGGCCGCCCCCGCTCCGGCGGCTCCGGCCGCCGCTCCGCTCCCCCCGCGCGTCCCGCGGGGGCGGGGCCGCCGCCAGCACCGACCACTCAGTGCCCGCCCCTGCCCGCAGCGGCCGGGAGTGACAGGGCGCCTGGCCAATCACAGCGGAGAAAGGCGCGCTCGCGCCAATCACGGTGAGACCCGTTGGAGGCGGGGGTTGCCCTCACGGCCGCGCCGCCTCCGTGAGGGGGCGAGTCGGGCTCGCGTCACCCGCCCCGGGCTGCGTCACCAGCCCCGGGCTGGCGTGTGGGCGAAAGGCGATGGTGTCACCCGCCCCGGGCTGGTGTGTGGGCGAAAGGCGGTCGTGTCACCCACCCGGAGTGAACTCCTGCGCCGAGAGCGGCCCCGCGTTCCCCCGCTCGGCCTGGGAGGAGCCGCTCCGTCCCAACATGGCGGGTGCCGCCTCTTCATAGCCCGCCCCGGCTGTCCGGCAGCCGGGCCGTGGGGTCAGTGGTGCGGTGCAGAATTACCTGTGCTTAAGGTGTAGGTAGGTCAGTGAGCCTGTACCTGCCACAAACACTGCTCTCAGAGCAGGGCAAAGAGTTGCTTACAAATAGTTAAATTAAAAAAGTTAAATGAGGTGAAAATACCAATTCAGTTATCCGAGGATGTGAAGGATTAAAAGCACTCTAAGCCCGGGGGTGAGGAGCAGCTGCTTTAACCGTTCTAGAGGTGGGAAATGTGCCCCCTTCCAAAAGGATGGATTGAGAAGGGTTGGGGCAGTTTTACCTATTTTTCATTCATATTGTCATTTCTTATTTTCAGGCTCAGACTTACCACTGCCCAAAGGCCAGCGGACTCCGGTGCCTTGACCTGCGAGCGAGGTGCGAGCTGTTCCTCCAGAGGGGCTCCTTCCTGCCCCTAGCAGAGCCCAGGGCTCGCAGCCAAGGCTCTGCGTGGAGCCCTCATAGCACATCAAACCCCACCACACGCCTTCTTTTCATCTTTTAGTTCACTACATGTTAGCTAAAACGTACGAGTACCTTTTTTGTTTGATCTTTTTTTTGTTCCAGAAAATACTGTATTTGTTTCACAGGAAGAGATTAGCCTTATTTGATCAGAACTTATGGATCCTGTCTGCTGGAGCACTCTGCTGCAGACACTCAGAGAAAAGTCTCAGTACCTTACACTAAGGAGATCTGTTTATTCTGTCCCTTTCCCGTTACAGCAGAAGAACTTATTTTATTTTCCCTCCACCAGCCTTTTTTACTAATTTGAATTACTATTTTTTTTCTTAGCTGATTCAATTTTATGACCACTTCCGTATTGCCTGTTGTTACAGAAGTGTACAGGACGGCATTAAACACATCAGTATTTAGGTCAGCCTAAGAGTGGACTAAACAACTTGAATAATAACTGCTACAGACAGCATCTGCTGGTTTTTGTCTGATCTTCAAGATACAAATTTTAATTTTCTGTTACTGATTCTACTTTTCCTTACAGAGGTTAAATTTGTGATGATGACATGATGGTATTTACATAACTATTTCTCCTCCAAGTGTTCTCCAGAACTAATAAAAACTTGAGAGTGGACTTGGATTTCTGGAAACCCTATTATTGTTTCCTTCACCAAAGGTTCTTAAAGGGATTTGGTTGCTATGGAAGATTAACATAAATCCTTATTAAAAATAGAATAAGGAATAAAAGGTTTTTACAGTAAAATCCCAGAGTTCTGTGCTAGGATTTGTACTGTTTAGCATGCTCATTTTAGGGTTTTTTAGTGTTTTTGCTCTTTTTTAATTTCTAGTAGCTTTTGCTTATTTTATCCCTCTTTACTTTGTAGTTTCCCTAATTTTATGTCCTTTCCCGAGGGTTGACCCTCATTCAGAAGCATCCAGAAATGATTATTGCTAAGGGAATAATGGCAGTGCTGGAAGGGCGATCCAGAGTGGCTGGGGCAGGGAGTGAGGCTGAGATCTGTGTACAAACCAGGCAGGTGTGAGGTCGGGTAATCTGGGATTATGTCAGCACGGATCGGCTCAGGCTGTGCTCCCGGCTGCTGCATCCTGGTCACACGGGCTCCAGGTGGCTGAGTGGCACCCAGACAGCAGCATCAGCACTGCACGGGCTTGGCCGTGTCTGCAGGGAAATACAGGAATCTGCCCGGTTTTTACATCTTTCGTGTCACAGCTGAGCGGGGGCACATCGGCAGCTCCCCAGCACTGGGCAGCTGTGCCTGGAGCTCAGCCGTGGGGCAGAAGGGGAACAAAGGGATCTCTGTGCCTTATGGAGACTGAGGTGGGTTGGGTTTATTTTGTAAGCCTGGTTGGAGATTTCTTCATGAGCTGCAATTTATATGAATGTCTGTCAGTACATTCTGGGTGTGTGCCAGTCAAGAATTATGACCTATATTAACATCCCAGAAACAGGGGAGGCCAGCCAGGACTGCAGCTCAATCTCCTGATGTCTGATATCCATGCTTACTATGTTTTAAAGTCAGGTTAAATAAATTCCTGTGGAGAGAAGTAATTTAAAATGTGTTCACTCCTCTTGACAGTGCATCCCTTACCCTCTTGACAAAAGCACCTGACAATCTCTCAGTCAGGGCTGTCTTAACTTTCTTAACAAAACAGAAGAATGGCATTTGCTAGAGTAACTTAATTGCTATTCATAAAAATAAAATCCATTTCCTAGGGTGTTTTTTATTATTTTCAATGGGACTTGCATCATTATATCCAGGAATATGAACAATACTCAGTTCAGACATAACTTGGTAGCTGGCTGACAAAAGCCCCATATCCAGACACTTGAATTTTCCCATACTTTGTATGGCACATATGCATCTCACTGGTGGTTTAAAAATACTGTTGGGAAATCCTAATTACAGTACTGCATCTAAGAGATTTCCCAAGCACTTGGGAACAAAGATACCAGAATGTAAAAACACTGAACACTGACCCTTGGTGGTTAGTCATGTACTTGCACATTTCTTGCCTTTAGAAAACAAGATAAAAAAATCTACCTCCACTTTCCAATCAAATTCAGGTAGCTCAGTCGATTTGATTTCTGTAAATCTGCACTTCCTGAGCATCTTGCAAAAGCTTTAGAAGCATCCAGTAATCCCCATGGTGTTCTGTAGTACTGAGGCACATCTGAATTTTTAGATGCAGAAACCAGAATCAAACCAATTCCCAATTTGTGTGCAATGAATTACTGCACAATACAAACTGCTCTGATACTTGCTGGGCCGCTCATCCTTTCACAACCTGTCACAGTCTCTGGCACCTTCCTGCCACTTTTGAATCGAGTTGTGTATTGGAAGTTTTTCTGCTTTCATGAAGAAAGCAGTGACTGTTTATTCTCCAAATGTGACCAATTCAGAAGTTATTAAATTGAATTTGTTCAGTACAACTGAATATCTAAAAATCATAAAATAGGAATTTAAAAGCCACTGCTGTGAACCAGAGTTGTTTGACTCTCAGTGCCTTGCTGGTCTCTACAGGTTTTGTTTCCCCATTGCTTTTCCCTGCAGATGCTCAGTGGTACTTTCCAGGTCAGTCATGCCCTGAGGGAAAAGGGAGCAATGTCAGGATGATGAATGTAAAATTTTTCACTCTGTTACTTAAGTATCTGTTTTGTAAAATACTCTGAAATATTTTCCCTGGCTGCTATAGGAGATGAAAGTCATTAAAATCTCTTTATTGTCAAAATAATAGAAATTCTGGATATTTTGTATGTTCTGAACATCAATACCTTGTCTGAGAGGGAGTCTCATATTCAGGCTTTTCTGAAAGGTGGCAATATTTTCACATGGAATAAGCATCTTTCAAGTATCTTCACATTAGATGGAAATACTTTCATCACTTGAGGCCCTTCTTGGAAGTCATTCAACTATGAGAACATTTGCTTTAAATAAAAAGAGTGTTTAAGCCAGTGGGATTCCTGAAATTCCTGAGCCATTTATGCTCTTCTTTACACTTTTTTTAGCACATGTTAACTCAGTGAACATTTCCTTATCCCCACAGATTCAATGCTGGTAAGAAACAGTCATCTCATTAAAAACTCTCAAGGCTTGGGGTAGCATTTCTAGTCTTTTATAATTAATTTTGTTTTGACTGGAGTAATTTCTGGGCTCCTTGGCTGCAGACTGCCAGATAGAGTTATCTTAGCCCATGTAATACAGTGTACATACAGAGTACAACTGCATGCATACTTTTCACACAGAATAATAACATTGTTTACTATAGGAGCTTCAGAAAAAAATAATAACTGCTTTTCCAAATAATAGTTAAGGTTTATCATATGCCTGTGAGGAAGGTATTGATAAACTGAAACAGAAAAGATGGAAATAGAGCCACAGAACCAAAATCTATGATATCTCATTAAATTCCATAAAAAGCTTTACTGGAGACAAAGCAGGTCTAGGTAGAAAGCTACTGACCTACATTTATAAAAGAGACTGATACCAGATCTTGTCATTGCACCTTTAGGCAAGAGGGAAACAGTAACATCCTTAAGGAATGATCTGCCTCAACTATTTCAGGGAAAAATCTCAGAATTGGCAACCTTTAAGAAGAGTGACTTGAACAGAATAAAATATTTACACCTCTACAGCATCATTTCTGCTCAGCAAAGCCCAATTTGGTACTGCACCCTTCCCTCCCCTGCTCTCACTGTCTCAGTTGTTTCCCTAACGTTTGTTCATCTCCCATCTATGCTTTTTTATTTCTGCCTTTTCATTGACTTTCTTACTGATATCTTCTATTTTAGTACCCTTATCTTTTTTTAGTGAACAAGGTCACAAGTGAGAGTGGGCTTTGGCAATTACAACATTTTCCGGCTGACGTTAATTGACATCATGGAACTGTTGGCAGTGTGATGGCAGCAGCCCCTCTGAAAATGCACATGTATTAAATGTCTCAGATACAATTTCATTTTGTGCCCAGGACAAAAAATGCAACACGGGGATATAAACTATGGCAGAGACCTGCTGGTCACAAACACAGTGACACTCTGAGATCCTGTTCCCACAGGTGTGCTGAAAAGGTGACTCCCTAAGGCACCAGTTTGGCAGGTGGGGCTGTGTCCCAGTTTTATGCCATACAGATCCTGATCCTGAGAGTATCCTCACACTTAATATTGTGCACCAAATACCTCCAGTACTCACCACAGTCAGGGATTAATCCACAGGTAAGATCAGGGTTTTTTTTTAAGATGTGTTTTTTTCAAGGCCAGGGAAATCACAAACTCAATTTCCAAGAAGTAACCCCTTTGATTCTGTGCCAGGGTGCTGGCATGTACTGCCAGGGAAACTAATTCTGGTAATATGTCTAATATCTCTAAACAAAATAATTTTCAGAACTCTGTGTTCCATTATACCAATTATATACCATTGTCTCATTACTCAGAAACATTATTACCAGCATAGAATATTGACCAAATAAAATGTTAGTTAGTTGATCATTATTTTTAAATGGAAAATTAACAGCTAAGTTATTAAAGAATATTCCTTTCTCAGCATCTGAAAGTTAGTGTGAAAAGCACTAAAAGACATGTTTTTAAATGGAATACTGAAAAAGTATTCTTTAATGGAAGAAGAATCTATGTTCAAAAATAGAAACACTGGGTGAAAATGTCCCAGCCACAATCTGCTATTGAATAACACAACAGTGTCTCAAACCCAACCACAGCTGACAGAGGAGGAGAGCTACAGGTGTGTGAAGTGTCCTGATACTGCAACATTTATATATTAAATAAACAAGTTATTGTGTACTTATCTGTCAACACCAAGTTCAGATTTCCCTTCATTTCTATATCAATGTAATTTTTCTTGGTTTTATTTGAAAATAGACTTCAGTTTGCCTCAGAATTTTGAATACATTTTCTTTCATGTTTGAAGGCTCTCTTGCTATGGCACATTCCAAAGAGGGAAAGCCAACTCCCACAGAGGGGTCAGCCTCTCTTGGACAGACTGCCAGGGAAGTTGCAATTATATTTTTGGTTACTGCATTTTGTACTTGGATAATTTTTGAAGCTAAAAGCTAATCTTGTCTGTCCCTTCTGTTTGCATTTAGAGATTTCTCCCTTGCTTTCGTGCTGCTCTCCAACAGCTGCTCTGTTTTGCTCACGCACAGGAACCAGGGGCACGCTGGTTCTGAGCTGAGCTCTGTGAAGCCTCCTACATATCCAGCAACCCCCACTCTCACATTTCAGGATGGAATTCAGACACAGATGGGACTCACTGGGGGTGTGTCATGCAAAAACCCATCTCAGTCAAAATCCCCTCAGTTTGTGTCAAAGGCCATCACGTAGGCCCTGCTCCAGAACAGTGCCAGAAGTGTTTCCCACATTCACACCTCTCAGCCCCATCTTTGTACCTCACAGGCTCCATTTTTGGTTAGGTAGGCTTTTGTGGAGTACATCAATGGATTGGATGTGTAAAATTGGGAATTAAGAATGCAGCAATGCCAGTGGCTGGCATGTCCAGACCTGTTGGCTTTGATGGAACTATTCAACTGTGCAAACTAAAATAGGCACAGCAGTGTTTGCCAGCTCAAACTCCAGAGCCAAAACAGGGAGTTCATTAAGAACACACACTGGTCCTGGCACTGCAGTTGTGCTTTACAGACCCAACCAAAGATCAAGCACCAACAAAAGCCCAACCTACAATTTAGACAAAATGATCCAGGATTACAACTTTTAGGCATGTAGTGGGACCAAAA